AGCAGCCAACTAATCAACCAATTAATATGTAACAACAACAATTTGCTGCATAAATCAAAGAGTGAACTTTCAAATGCAATTAGCATAAAATCACATTTCAATAACGGTTGTTTTTATTTCCATTTTTCCGCAAATAACTTTTGAGCGCATACAAAATGCGTGTTGTTGACATTAAAACGCCATAAAATAGTGCATTTTGTATGAAATTAGATAAAAATGGCGATTTGTAGTGCCGTAGAGCCGCTGAGCTGCAGAGCTCCTCGAGATATTAACGGTGCTGCTGTTATGTATTAGGTGCGTAGCAACGAACCTGCCAACAGCACGTTGAGATATCTGAGTTTTATCGTACGCTTGCCACTTGGCCTGCGGCCTGTTGTCGCCGTCGTCGCAAGAGTTGCGTACAATCGACAGCGACTTGTAATAATGATCGTGACAGATTGTGGCAGCGCATATGAGAGATCGTCGACAAGTCAAGCGACCAGCCAAAGAGTCAGCCTACCAGCCTACCAGCCTCACAGCCTAAGCCAAGCTGAGCCGAGGCACGCAGGCCAAGCCAGGTTGCTGCATAATGTGGCACATAAATTACGAATATGAAGCTGGATTGAAAGGCGAATTGTGAATAAAATATTTAGAAATTATATATTTACATGTAAAACTTTATTGTTGCATGCTTTTGCATGAATACATATACATATAATTTGTGTTGTATAAATACTCGTACAACAAGCAAAATTACATATTGCAGGGAAAATGAAGAAAAAGTTGAAATCCACATGCAAAATGCGCTGACAACTGAACTTATGAAGTGAGAAAAGGGGGCTGGAGCCTGCAGGTGGTTGGAAACCCGTTGGCATCTTTTAATGTGTAGTAGGCTGGGATGCCGTCGTAGAATAAGGAATTTGTAGATCTCAAAGAAAAGTTAAGCAGCAAAAATCATCAACACTGGCCGAATTTTTAAATGTGTCGAACGCTTAAAGCTCCCGGTTGATTTTCAATTTTAGATATAATATTTGGCGACCCTAATGATGTATACATTTTCAATTCCAGTCGGGTTTTTATATCACACACTTTTACATCAAAGACTGTAGCTCTCGCCTCAAAACCTAATTTTCGGAATATTTTTGTGAATTAAAGGCGAAGCTAAGCTCCTTTTAAAGACTGTGCTCTCTGAACCCCTAAAATGATCCGGACGTCTTATGTATGCCTTTCAAAATCATCTCATTTATTTATCTAATCTGAAGAAGTGAAGCGTGAAAATCCAGTCCACACTCTGTTGCTCACTTAAAAGGAAGCGAGCAGAAAGAACATAAATTTTTTTTATTAAAAAATCAGTAAATACAAAACTTCGAACTGAAGTCCAGAATTAAAAGTTTTTATATAAAAAAAGAAATCCGCTTTTAGGTCGTCCAAAAGTGGGTTCCGAGATGACTCGTACTTGCGTTAAAAATATATTCTGTTATTAAAAAACTAAAAATTATAAAATACTTTGAAGTTAGCTTTGAGATTGTAGATGGCGCTGAGGTCAAGATTAACAAAAATATTCGTCACTCAGGCTGTAAATTTGACAGTAAAAAAAAAATGTGCCCACCAAATGGTGTCCAACCAACCTCTTTGGAAAAATTTGAAAAGTTATGGACATATGTACATACATACATATTAACATATTTATATGTGCGCGACAGTAAACAAGTGCAATTTATTGCCTCAAACTGCAAGAAAATTACCACTAAATATTAACATAAATTACAAATTCATAAATTTAATAGCAAAAATTACCCAAATGTATTAGCATATATTAAATAATTTTTTATGTTGTTTTATTTATTTATTTATTTATTTTTTTCTTAATTATGCACTTACCATTTTTGGCTCTGCAAATCAAGTGCCACTTTAAGCTTGCGAAATTATTTCTATTAACCATATGTAAACTACGGCATTAAAATAAATTTGAATTAAATTAAATCTGTGTGCAAAGATATTTTTTTTTATAAAAGACAAAAAAGAGAAACAAATCGACGATAACTGTAATTACAAGCGACCAAACCACTTTCAAAATATAAAATTTTTAATATAAAATATCAAAATAAACATAAAATATTAAATTTAATTGCCAAATACATGTGTGTGTGTATGTGTGTACGCATATACATGTGGATATATGCATGTGTACATATGTAAGCAACTCCTTGGCACATAATGTCACTTCAATTGGCCAACTCTTCTGCAGCTGTTGCAGTTATTGTTGTTGCTGCCGCTGCCGGCCGCCTGTTGTTGCATGCAAATTGCACTAAATTAATTGTTGCGTGATTATTTGTTGTATATAAATTTTTACGTAAATAACAACAACAATAAACATTTATCGCGCATTATATGCGTTCGAGTTGGCTTTTTTCTATTTAATTTTATTATTTTTTCGCTTCTTTTGGCATTGCAAAATAATCGCTGTTTTGTTGTTGTTGTTTTAGATTAATATATGTAAAGCATATTGTTTCTGTTGTTGCGTGTTATTGTCGTGCACTACTCGGTGCTATTAATTAGCTACTTTGAGATTTTTATTTTTCAAATTTATTTTTATACTTCTTGGAAAGACTACCACGTAGTTGGAGAGCTTAGTTGGCATATTAACGAATATACACAAGTACATATGTATTTAACATTTTCTTATTTGGTTAGCGGAGGCCATTGTATAATCTATAAAAGTTTCTTGGTAAAAGCTGTAATTCTTTAATCGTCTTCATAGATATAATATTCATGTGGCATTAGGTTGGTCCAAAAAAAAAATTGTCAAAATCTAGTTTGTGGATTGAGGACAGCTCAAATACCTTATTTTTAATTGCCATATTTTCGTATAGAATTTACTTTATTACGTAAATGTAAAAAACAAAAAAAATTATCACATATTAAAATATTTTAAGTGTTATTTTCACTCACTCTTTTGAAATTAATTCATATTTAGTGACAGGTTGTCAATTTTCTTCGAAAACACTTTCATCTTAAAAAAAAAAAAAAGAAAAAACTCCAGAAAGTAGATGAGAGAAGATCAAAGAAAATTAATTAATAAATAAAGGCGTTAGCAGGTTTCTACAAAACAGTTAATTTTTTATTAATTATTAATTTTCTATAACTTTTTGGATGTAAGTACGTCACCAGGATTTGAACCCGAGCCTTTCGTAGGGCAGTACACAATGCTAACCAATCGGCTACCGCGGTCGCGTAATAACTTATAAATTTAAATATATCAAATGGCAACCCTATAACAGGAATGTTGAAAAAAGGTGCATATTTGCGTCGTCACTCTCAATTCTTCTTCCACCTTTAAACGCACTGTAGCCTTCTAAATCTTTTCACGTAATATTTGCATATTTTCCGCCACAATCCATGGCTTGCCAATAATGATAACGACAACAATAATGAGCAGCCATAGAAATTATCATAATAAACATAAATCAATCATAAATATGTACAAGTCAAATGCAAATATGAGCTCACAGATCCATATATCTGTGTGTATGTGATTTTCTGCAAAGTAATTTTATGAAATAATGGCAATTGGCACAAACCAATTACTAGATAACCAATTTGAAAATAACTTGGAAATTCACAAAAAAAAGACCACAAATAAATTTATGCATAACACTTTCAAGAAATACATAAACACACATGGACATACATACGATGAAGTGTGCACAGATATTTGCACATACTGATGTTCTATTTGCATTTAAAGTCGATAGACGGTTGGAGCAATGAGAGCCATTGATTGGTTTCTAATTTGGTAGGCGCTGTACATACGCACACACACATACACTGGCACTCATACATGTACATCATCATGCGTGTGTGCGCATTTAAACAGTTCGAATACATTTATAAATAAACCAAATAAATTGAAGCTCAGCAAGTGAAGCCAAGAGATAAGCAGAGAAAATGATTTTGCTTTCTTCATGAAGAGAGGGTAGGTTGAGTAGGTAGCTTGTGCAGCGCCGATAGCGAACAGATCGCGGCACACACCCACCAAGCTACGCACCTTCATGCGGAAGTTCGCAGCAACGGTAATATTTCTCTTATCACTGATTTACTACTAAAATAGCGAGCGAGCAGAGAATGTAAAATAAAAACCAAAAATTATTTTAACAGAAGTAAAATGAAATTATTCCATTGTTCTTTTAGCTGAGTTATTCAAAAGTGGCCGCTGACGTAGTACAAAATAACTGAAAATTTTAGACCTTCATCTGGGACATAATGCGCAGAGAAAAAGTAAAACCTATAATAGAAAGCTTTGCTGGTCCATACGCCCATTTCACAATTCGAAGGTTTTTTCTCAATTAAAAAAGAGACTGAGGTTTCTAAAAAAGGCTTTACAGCTTGATTTTTGATAGACTGTCCCTTCTCAAACATCAAAATACTTTGCAAGGATGCCGTTGCGTAATAAGTTCCTCCACTTTTCGTCCCTCAAAAAATAAACAGTCCAAAAAAAGTAATAAAATGATTAAAAAAGAACCCTTAAAGAAGTTCTGATAAAGACTTTTGTATTGTATGATCCTTGGCACCTTTGTGGATTTGGTTTTTATCTCATCAATCAAAGCTAAACGTTGTACTCATTAATCTCTTTACTGTAGGGGATGGGTCAATGTCGTTAGAAATCATGAATGGGCACATTTTGACCCTGCTAGCATTTCAAGTGTTCTTGAGCACTTAATTCCTTCGGATATACAGATTTAACATTTTAGATTTAATATTCTTATAAGTGGCAATCCTACGGAAAAGTATTTTCAATTGTAAACAGACTTTTCAAGTTTTTAGTTACGCTTCCTTATCTAAAGAATATTTGGAAATTTATTAAAACAAATTTTTAACAGTTGGCAGCCCTCTTTAGAACTAAAGTGACTTATAATTGGCATTAAGTGCAATTATTTTATATTTTTCATAATTCAGGCGTGCTTATTGTTTGCAAATTAAGTTGAAATTAAAATTGGAAATAAAAATAAAAATTTGCTTACCTTGAATTTCGGCCAGCTTTTGCGAACACGGACGTTTGACTTTCAAACAATTATTTTTATAAAAATGAACTGCAAGGCGGTTAACTTTTCAATGCAGTGTATGTCTCATTTTCCAAACATCCAGTTGAGTAAACTGCAAATTTAAAGAAAATAACATTTACTTAAAAGCTTTCGGTTAAGAAAAAAATATTTTTTTTTTTATTTTCATTTGTCAATCAAAAAGGGTTGACCCTCAAAGTAGTTATACGTAGATCCGACAGGCGCTCATTCCATTTGCAAGTTTGCAACAGAAAAAGCACAAACACATTATTTTTGTAAGTATAAAAAGTAGCTTTTCGGAAGTTCACCAACGCTTACACTATACTCTACACAAGCTGATGGGGGCGCAGAATGGGCAGAGCGGCGACTGATGTGCTGCTTTCAGTGCTTTTTTCAAACCCAATTAAGCTCAGCAGAAACACGAAAAATAAGAAAAATAAAATAAAATAAATCAGAAGAGCCGTGGAAAATAAAGCAAAAATTACGACATAACAAAGTGTAGGTTTCAGCTGTTTTACTGCTACACTTCAAGCGTAATGCGACTATTAGCAAGATAAGCGGAGCAAAGTGGGCGAAAAAGATCAAAAAACAAAACACTTTGTTAGTGTTTACAATGCATCTGACTACCAGAAGTTTAAAATCAACGTAATTTTATAAAATTCTTTGAAAAAAAAAAATAATAAATCAAAACAAAAGAAATGAGCGAAAGAATTGCTTAACGGTACAAACATAGGGCCAAGTCAGCAGGCCAAATAGCAACCTGTTGCTTGCTTTTTTGTGAAAGAAACCAAAAAGATATAATAGAAATCAGAGAATAACAGCATAAAATCAGCAACAAGAACTCGACGTGGCTGGGCAGCCGGCCATGGAGCTACACAAAAAACCTCGACAGCCCATCAACAGTTGCCAAAATGCTCGCTTTTATTAGCTAGAAAACAGTCACCCCACCTCCTTGGGTCTCGGATGGAGCGGCAAGAAAAAATAAAATTTTATCCACACCTCTTCGAATCCCCCCTACACGTCCGCACAGTACGCACATCGCTCATTTGCTGAATGTGGAGGAGCTGTGCTTTATCTTAACCTCCCATGTGGTAAATAAAAAGGAATTTTATATGAAAGTAAACAGTAATGCAGCAACAACTACAACAATGCCAGTAAAGAACCGAGCTTTTGCTTGTGTCGTTTGGGGCAGGAAAAATCGAAAATAAAATACTCACTAACTCAGGATTTGTGTGTGTATGTGCGTTTCTGTAACAACAAAGAACTGAATGAAGAAAAGCGACGTGTTGGTGCCCGTGATGGGAGGGCAGATTGAGCAAAAAGCGGCATTAGAAACGACCAGCGAAGTGTTGTGGATTTGAGTTTGAGGGAGGGCAAGAGTCGAACACGAACAAGTACAAAGCTGTGTCGGTTCGGCTGGCAGCTTGTGAGAAAAATATCAAAACTTTTCACATTTTACACAGAAAACCCCAGCATGTACACACATGCATACACGCAAGCATATGCATACTCATGCAAGTATTTACACATCTCTGTGTAGACATACACTTTTACTCGGAACCAACTCCACAACTAAACACTGCTTACACTACAGTGCTGGGTACTTCGACCCAAAGTTCAGCATTATTCACTATGTGTATGCGAGTGTGTGTGCCAAGTAATCTGAGTAGGTGAGTAAGTGAGTGAGTTTGTGAGTGAGAGTGGCGCTTCAAAGTGTCTGGCAAGTGTCTACAATTTTCTTCATTGTGGGTGATTCAAACACCCTCACCACAGACGTCACGCTGCTGCCGCTGTCGGTGTTGTTGTCTCCGTCGTCATCATCAACGTGGTCTGGCCTGCCCTGCCCCGACATGGCTTGGCTCAGCTTGGCTTGGCTTAGCATTTGCACACTTCACTTGACTTGCTTGGGCTTTCCCCTGTGTGTTTGTGTGGTTACGGAAAAGGTTTTTATTTTTCTGTTATTTTTACTTTTATTCTCGTTGCCGTTAACTCAAAGGTAGCGCCGGCGCTTAGTTTGAGGTCGTGCCAGACGCGTGTCACATTATTGTTTTGCTACTGTGAGTTTCTCAACAAATAAGGAAATGACTGTGAGAGTATTTGTGGTGAAGAGGCTATGAACGCAGAGAAAGGTAAGAAATTTAAATTATTTGCTGAGAATTTCGACATTACGAAGCTGAAATTCGGAATGGATGCCGTTCGCAGCCTGAATAAACTTTCTTTGTGTATAAGACTCGCTTTTATCTTATGAATCTTAGCTCTAAGCTTTTGTAAAAATACCTTTGGGGAGTTCTGTGCGAAGGCTTGTTGATAAAAGACATAAATTGAGTATCTTGGTAGCAGGATAATTCGGGGCTCAAAAGAAAACTAGAGCCATTAGAACAGCATTGTTAAAGGTAATTAACTCACCACCCGTCTATAGCCTCGGTACAGCCCCATAGCAAGTCATTTCGACTCTCCAATAGTCCTCGTTTCAATACGTGCTTTCATAAAAGTTAAGCTTTTAAAATTAGCCTCCTTATGGCAAGGTTCGTGTCTTTACCTTTTCTGTGTGGAGTTCCCCTTGAATCCTGTAAGACGAGAGGAGGACATGGTATGAACCAGCTTAATGCTTCGAAGACTACCCGATTTTACTACGGAGTGTAGCCGAAAACTCCCTCTCTGTCTGCTCTCATCATATTCCAACATACTTGGCGTCCCTTATTCACCTTCTTCATTCATCTTTACAGTTTTTTGCTTTACTTGCTTATGATACGTCTGTCTACTAGAGTTTTCACACGATTGGCGTCAACTACACATGCAGCAAAGTGTAAAAACATAACAAAAGCAACAGCAATAACCGACAAATCGAACACACAACTCCGACTGAGCCAAATGAGGCAAAGCAACAAGTCGCGTTGCCTGCAGAGAAAGTGGCTAAAAAGTTGCGGTACGAACAACAATAGCAACAAAAAGTTGGCAAGTTTTCGGTTATTTTTCGGTCTTCTTACTGCAGCTGCTCTTCGTTTTCTTCTTCCTTTCCTCCTCTACTTCTCCGCAAACGATAATGATGACGTTGAACGACAACGAAGGCGTTGATGAGCCTGTTGATTTAGTCGTTTTTGCTGACGGCGGAAGTTGTAGCAGCAACAGCTGGCAACAGTTGATTGTCGCCAAAAAGAAACCTCGCGATTCCCGTGAAATCAAGAACTACATCCACCGACATCCACCAGGTGCTAGAGTGTAAGGAAGCGAGGGCCGAAGTGAACAACAGCGAGGAAGAGCGAACGAGAAAGAGAAGTAGAAGGGAAGCGCGCGTAAAAAGTATGAAGAAAAACACAAACTTCTCAGAAAACGTCTTCGCCTTCATCTTCGTTGTGCCAATTCACAAGTACAATGTTGACGCGCCAAGTAGCTGACGCCTTGTTGGTTTTGTTTCTTGTGTCTCTTGATTTTTATGTACTTAATTTTTTATTTTTATTTTATTTTACTTTTTTCCTAGCTACTGCTGCTCGGAGTCGCGCGCTTCGCTTCTTGGCGGCGTATTGTTATCGTGCGGGTGCTGTCGCGGCGTGACGCTTTGCACGTTTTACGGTTTTTATGAACACGTCTCGTCGTCTTTTGTGCCGGCATTTTTACGTTTAAGCTTTTATTTCTCTGCTTCTTTTGCTCGTTTGTTTTGTTTTGATATTTTGTATTGCTTTCAAGCACTTCCCGCTTCTTCCAATTTGCTGTGCTGCTGTTACATTGCTGCTGCTGGCAGCGCCGCGTGATATGGGCAAACAACAACAATAACATTGTTGTGTGGTTGACCAAAGCGCGTAGAAACAAAAACAAAAAGTCAGCTTTAACAGCAAACATCTGCTACTGAAAAGCTTTTCACGTTTTGCTGCTTTTGTTCGCCGGCAACTTTGCGGTGTTCTTGCATTTTGTAGAATTTTTGTATTTGTAGAGGTCAGTGTGTAATGTTGCAGCTATTTTTCTGCTTTATATTTTCGCCCACTTTTCTCTTTAATTTTGTGTTTTTCTGATACAAATCGCACTCGACGTTTTTTGCCTTTTACGGTGTTCATTCATAAAAACCACGGCTAAAAACAAGGGGAGAAGCAGAGAGAGAAATAAACACTTAAGCGTCTTATTTTCCGCTGAGCTCTAGAAGAATATATTATCGGCACCAAAGCTGGGGCTAAACCAAGAGGCAAACCTTGGCGGTAGCAAAAATAAATAATAACTTTTAAGTCACCAAACGCTGGGATTTCGATTCTGTAAAAAGGCAAACCCCTGAAAACACCATCTTATTTCATTAAATCCTTCAGCGTTCCCTGAGGACCTCAACTCGCTGCCTGCTAACACTAACATTTCCAAACAATTTCAAAAAAGCTCATATATCCCAAGCCCCGCCATTGAAAAAGCTACGTCAGCAGAGAAACAAATTAAATAAAGGAGTCCAGCCTACGCCGTTACCAAAATTAAATTGCTATAATTAAAACATTTCAACACACACTTATCTCTTCGGCACTAAAGTTAAGGGAATCACTAGAAAAAACCGAAAAAATCTCATTTCCGCTATTCACACAACCAAGCTGTCTACCTGCTCCTCTCCTTCTCTCCAAAGGACTGCAAAGAATTAAGTGTTAAATGAAGAAAATCTAAAGCACTTAATTCACGCCTGGTTGCAGGTGTCGAAAGCCGAAAGAGCCACAGAAAAAAACCGCTGAAAGCGAGAGAAAAATAAATATCGTAAAGTCAGCGGAGGAGAGCGAGGAAAACCTCATTGGAAGCCCACAAAATGGCCAAAAGAAAAAAATTGCAGGTCGAATGCAAAAAAATGTGCGAAAGGAAGAAAAAATGTTAATATGCTTGCCCACAAGCATGTGTGCCGGTGTGTGTGTGGGTGTGTATAATTATCTGCCTTAAACAGTACATACAGCAAGGATAACGAGCATAAGGATAAGAGCAACCCAAAGTGCAACCAAATGCAAAAACCACAAAAAATTAATGTTTCACCGACCTTTTTCTCTTTCTCTCTTCCATCCCACTCTCCACACTTGCTGTGTTTGTGTGGACGTACTTTGCTTACAGGCAAGGAAGCAAGTAAATACGCTTAGCACAAGAATT